TTTTTCTTTCCCTCTCTCTCTTGCATCCTTTCTGGGCTCTGTTCTTCTTTTTGTCCTCTCTATTCTGTAAACATTTTGTCTTTCCTCCTCCTACTCGCACCTCTCACTCTCTCTCTCTCTCTCTCTCTCTCTCTCTCTCTCTCTCTCTCTCACCGCCCCCCAGGCGGTTGAGGGTAAGTTGCAGCCGCTAAATGATTTAGGTTCAGAGTAAAACCATGGAAGCAGGGAGCTCTCGTTTTGGCACTTTAATAGCACAGTCTAATTCATTTTCTGCAGTGTGCAGAGAACCCTAACCGAGCCGTGGACGCCACATAACGATATAAACAGGAGTTAGAACCATCCTGGTAGCGTGTTTGGAGAAGACACAGCGCATGATCTACTGTCCCCGAAGGTGAAGGCACTAATTGGAAATGTGGAGAAGATCTGCCAGTGAGCTTCCTAAATCATGAGTAACTGTCACCGGTGAAGAATAGTATGTGTGATTTTGAGAGCATGCAGGCAGACTGGACGTGTGGAGGGAAGAGAAGCTTTACAGTTCAGTTCTGGGACAGAAACGTAGTGTAAATAACTGCTACATTATGAAAGTATATAATTAGCAGCCACCTATACATCGCACTTCACTGTGGTTGTTAAAGGGGAATTCCGCCAATGCTTCTACATTTCCACATAATTCAGTCACTGAGATGTAACTGAATTATGAATGACACTGAGTCATTCAGAGTGGTTTGGTGTGAAATGGTTCACATTTGTTTACAGTGGTGGTGATAGAAACCAGGGGTCGCCATGACTACAACACAAATATAGACATTTCATTTACTATCCAAAACCACCAGTGAACCTACACATGACTTCTGAGTTTTATATGGAATGTTGATGATGGTAAAATAGTGATAAATCTGAAAAAAATAAGCCTCAGAACGTCCTGCATGTACCCCTCTGCCATGAATGGATTTAAAAAATACATTTTAGGCCAAAAGCTTTTCATAAAACTCGTAAAACAATGTCTCAGACATCAGACACCATATTCATAAGCATTTCATGATCAACTGTCCCTGAACTTCATGTAATAACTTTATGTAAGGGAGCTTTTAGAGGTGGACATCTGGTTCCTATCACCACCACTGTGAACAGTTCCAACTCGGAGAAACGAACGGAGAAATTCACACCAAACCACTCTGAATGAGTGTTCATATTTTAACCATTTAATCATGCAGAAATGTAAAAAAAAATCTCTCTTAATTAAATGTTCATTCTTTCTTTTATTCTACTTCAGTCAGTCCTGCCTTCTGGTAAGCTGTAGCTAGCAAGGTAGCTAATTACCTAGCCAATTTAACCTTAGTTAGTCAACCTTAGTCATCATTATATACTAGTATGCCCAAAACTTCACACAAAGTAAAGCTATATATAAGAAAACACTTGATAGTTACAGCTATCAACAGATGTGAGCCACTGAGTTGTCACCTATTTGCATCTCCTATGAGCATGATATAAATCTGGCAGTACAATCTTATTAAAATATCAACAATAGACCATTTAAGGACAGTATGTACCAAATGTGTCAGTTGTAACAGTATTGCTTTTTTTTCTTTTATAGATGTCATCTTCATCTAGTCTATGCCTGAAGTATATAGTTGTGGTCGTGTGATCATTTATACCACTCACATAATAATTCTCATATGAAATCAAGACAAATCATAATTCAATTTAATGTTTACCATTCAGAAAACTAACTACTGTTTTAGAGCTGCACAAACTCCAACAAATTTTGGACACAACTCTGACCAGTGGGATCAAATGGACCACTGCATACTGGTCATGGGGAGGACTGCTTTGTTAAATGTAATTTTTGCCATGTTTTAAAGCAGACAAGACAGCTTGTCTTTTGCAGGCTTATGCTGCTATTTTTCACATCAGAAAATAGTGATTTTGTGTTTCCCTTTGCATACAACATGTGTTTATGCGGTGTGTAATTTGATGTATCAGGTTTCATTTGTAATTTCAATTTTGTTGAGGATTGGCATCCGTCTGTCTACATGTTGGCTTATTCTGTTTTCAGAGTTTTACGAATGTTACTAAAAGGTTTACAGGCCACACTTATGAGCTCTTTAAGAAACATCTACGTCTACTGCAGACAGAAGTCTGTAACTCTTACCTACTGTACCATTGATTTAAAACCCAAATTTGTGCAATGTAGATGACCTTTAAACATTTTTTTCAGAGCACAAAATATCTCTTGATGTTCTCACAAAGCTCCCGTTTCACTCTCTTTCCTCTGAGTATAATAAAGCAAAAGCTATTGAAAGTCCTTGCACAGCGAGAGCTAGAGACTGATACTGTAGTTGCGGATAATGATCACTAGGAGGCTGGTAAGATTTTATTGCACCCACTATTGATGCACAAAGTGTCCAAGCTACCAAACTACCAAATGCTAACTCGAAGCTAGAAAAGTTTCCACATTTATAACATTACACAACTGAATTTCTGCATAATAATGCCTTTATGCAACCTGTGAGTGCCATTAAACACAGTGTTTCAGGTTATATCAGTTGGAAGCGGCCTTTTCTGATTGGGCCTGTTCAACATGCATTAGCATTCAACGTTCCAAAGTTTGCAGCGGTACTGAGCGGAGCAGGTCCCTGTTCTGGGTAATTTTTGGAGGGGAGAGAACAGATGGCCTGACAGACGGTTTGTTCGGTGCCGATGGGATCTTGGTGAGCAAACAATGAGCTTGTGTACGACGGGATCGGTCTGCTGCCTTCCAAGCCCGGGCCTGGGAAAACAAACAAAGAAGGGAAAGGAAGAAGGGAGGAGAAAGAAAGGATTCAAAAGCCAGAGAGGGTGGTGGTGGTGGGGAAAAAGGGCAACGCCAAAAAGCAGACTTTGTTGAAGTCGCTGCTTTCAAAGGGCTAAGCATTGTTGAAGTCAGCAGATGTTTAGATTGGCAGATTCCCAGAGAGGGACTCCACGTGTTCTGGGTGAGAGAACGGAGCTGTTTCACTGTTTTTAAAGGGCATTCGGGCCTAAAACTAGTCTAATATGTGTTTTGCTGTGTTACATTCAGTAATGTACGCCGATCAGACATAACATTATGACCACCTCCTTGTTTCTATGCTCATTGTCCATTTTATCAGCTCCACTTACTATATAGGTGCACTTTGTAGTTCTACAGTTACAGACTGTAGTCCATCTGTTTCTCTGCATACTTTGTTAGCCCCCTTTTGCCCTGTTCTTCAGTGGTCAGAACCCCCATGGACCCTCACAGAGCAGGTCCTATTTGGGTGGTGGATCATTCTCAGCACTGCAGCAACACTGACGTGGTGGTGGTGTGTTAGTGTGTGTTGCACTGGTACAAGTGGATCAGACACAGCACTCATAATGTTATGCCTATCGGTATATATCATCCCTGCTGAAAAAGGACTATTAGAAACCATTACTAATGGTTTTGCTAAATGGTTTCCAACAGGGACCACTAGTTTCCTGTAGAACACCTTTAGATCCTATTAGGAAACCATCACATGCATTTAGAACTAGCCACTGGTCACCTGTTAAACCATTAGGATCCTTTATATTGATATTGACCCATTAAAAAAGCCAAAACACATTACAAAACCATCAGGAACAGAAACACTTAATGGTTTCTATGGGTTTTTTCAGCAGGGATGTTCATGTTTTTCTATCATTACATGTTTTCATTCATCTCTCACTGCAAATACATCGTACGACTGCTGGGAATCCCTGTGGTGTCAACCAGTTCTGTTAGCCTGACTACTGATCTATAGGCTAATAATGACAACCAAGCTAGCTTTACTCTTCCCTCAGTTGACGGACAAAATTCTAAAGAAAACTACAAAATTATCTTCATTCAGCATAAAATCGACATCATAGACAAGTTCTTTACTCTTTCTGCCAAAGAAAATAAGAGCCAAACTGAGGTATGGCGTCCAGCTAGCCAGCTACCTTGCTATCTTTAGCTTTTAGCTTGTTGTCCTCCTCATGATGAGCCATTGGAGTAATCCATTCTCTCCATAGTAAAGATGATTGACAGCTGCTACAGTTACACGGCTACAGAAAGATGTTCAGGTTCCTAGCAGTAAAGTTTGGCTTCCTTCTTTAGCCTTCCTTCTGCATTCACCAATTTTAAAAGTTCCTCCTGCCTTCAAAATACATCCTCAGTTGGGGGTTTTCTGGTTTTTATATTTAGTGCCTGAAGTCCGCTTCTTTAGTCTTTGCACTGGACCTGCAAGGCTAACATAGCTAGCTAATTTGTCACGGAAGCGCAGCCACATGTTTGCTTTGTGCTAACTGCATGTCTAAATGATCACACTTGCCTCAGACAGTGTTGAGTTGTTAAGAAATCTTAAATAGACTTGCTTACATGGTTTCTGACACTGTATATATACTGTTATGTGTAAAAATTTACAAATATGGACAGAATTCAGGCTTTAATGCTACTGTTACTGTTTATAGCTATGCAGTGTACTTTCGTGCACATTTGGAGGTCATGCAGTGTCATAAACCACATAAGCATGTTTAAATGTGGTGGTGATGTAGCATGCAGTTTGCGTGATGCTAGTGACTACAAGATATTGCTTGTTAGCTACATTAGCCTCGTAGCTCCCTGTTGAAATCCTGTTAGGAAATGGCTTAATGTTATCATTAGAGACCACAAGTTTCCTGTTGAACACTTTCAGATTCTATTAGGAAACTATCAAATGCGTCTGGACTCAGTCAGCGGTCACCTGTTACATCATTAAGGCCCTTTACATTGTGGTATCAACCCATTAAAAAAAAAAACAGAACACTACAAAACCACCAAGAACCAACAGAAACACTTAATGTTGTCTGTGGGTCTTTTTTTTTAGCAGGGCTGTGATAACCTAGTGAGGGAGACTACAGACACCAAATGTGTCCTGGCTGGTGGTGAAGATCTTTTAGGATAAAGACGAAATTGTGTGCTGAACTGTTGCTTTAATCTCATTACTCCTTTCTCTGTTTCTCAGGAACAACATGCCTGGTGGCGCTGTTGTCCGATAAGGAGCTGACTGTAGCCAATGTCGGTGATTCCAGGGGAGTTCTGTGCGATAAAGATGGTAATGCCATCCCCCTGTCACATGACCACAAGCCCTACCAGCTCAAAGAGCGCAAGAGGATCAAGAGAGCGGGTAAGGAAGAACACTTCACGGAGAAAAAGCTCTTTAACAGGTCTCTCAGGGTTCGTAACTAGGGCCTTTCCATATCACAGGAAATAAAGCAGCCAGTTGTAATGGCTTCTGGGCAGCCATTGTCCATGTCAACAGTACTTTATCCCCACCTGCTGGTAAAAGGTTATATTACATTTTTGGATCTTTCCCTGGTTGCGTTTGTTATTAAACCATTCAACGAAAGTAGTAATCTGTCAAGCCAAGCATGAAGCTGTAGTTAAGCTTAAAGCTGTTCAACTCACTGAAAGCAGGTGCATTCCACACCCTGCATTTACAGCCCCTTACAGATAATTTTATTTTATAATATATATATATATATATATATATATATATATATATATATATTACTATATATTTTATTAGCACTTTTATACAGTGTATAGTACAATTTGTGTACAAATGAGTATTGGGCTGTCCAGTTTTAGAAATCTGACTCAGACTAAACTAATTTCAGCACATACAAGCTTTTGGAACGCAGCTTATATGAGCGACTTACATTTAAGCACAAATTCTGCAGATGTGACTGATTTCCATGGGCACCAACTCGGGCGAGCAAGAATTGCGGGTGAATCTGTTATGATTATTAATCATTTACTTATTTTTTAATTATCATACACTTTAGTGAAAGTTAAATGGGTCATTGTACAAAACTGGTGTCAGAACTATGACTAATGCTTGAAGGTGTGGACAAAATAACAGAAACATTTAATAATATTAATATAGAGTGCCTGATAAGAAGTAAGGTACAGAGCTCTGCTAGTGACATCCCATATCAATGAAAATAATGCGTGGAAACGAGATCCTAACGCGTGGCCATGACTTAGTAAGGCATGGAATTGAGATAGTTAAGTCGTGGCCACGACTTAATAAGGTGTGGGAACGAGATCATGCCTGATGTCAGAGTTCAAAACACATTTCTGACTTTTAACTGACTCAGACTAAAAATTTGTCACTAAGAAAACCATCGTAACACTGCCGAAACTTTACCAAATGTTTCTGTAGTGACCATTTTAGCTAATCTTGAACAGAACTCAAAAAACGCTAAAGCACAAAAGTTTGTGTAATTGCAGAAAATGTGTGTTTATATGGACTATAAAACTCCCTCTGTGACATGAAAACCTGGATGAGTTATAAAAAATAATAAATAAAAAAAGAAGTTTTATTTAAAAATTACTCATGATCAATCTCAACCTTTCCACTTCACTTCAAAAGAAATCAGAACAGTCTTAAAAAGTAAACAAATAAAAATTAAATCTATGGTCTTGTGTCCTTGAACAATGAGCTCTGAATTAATTCGAAGGTTCATGTCTTTAGAAAGTGAAAATAAAACTCTTAATTTGAAACACAAAATTAAGTCATTAAACCTTATGCTTGTTTTACACCAGGCTACGGCGTAATGAGCGAAAATCAAAGATGTGGAACAAAGCGCAGTTCTTCTGGTTGCCGTAGCGACCCTGCATCCTTAAAAACCCTATATAATATGAGTTTATTATTGTGGCTGTTTTCAGACCATGCAGTTTCAGTGTCCTGGCTTTTCTGGAGCTTTGCAGTAGAACACCCAATAAGCCCCACCCCCCTAAAGTTGGTGCCTAATGTGACGGAAGAACATGAAGTTATTCCTAAATTGTCTGAATTTAGGCCACATTATTCAGCTGCATTCAAAGGATCCTTCTGACTGGAACAGCATTTGATGATGTAGTGGTCTAGAAATGCAGTTGGAATGCTAATAACTCGCATATCAGGCCGCTGACTGTAATACTACTTTTATAGCTGGCAGGCTACTGCAAAATTCGTTTTCACTCTACTGTGACTCATCAGTGTAGCTGTCTGTGGTATTTCACCTGTATTATGCCAGTCATAGGGCTTATTATGAGCATTATAACTGTCCAAAGCATTCCTAACTATTCCTAATATGTTCATTTAATAGCGCCAGTCCTGCATTATAAATCTGAATGTCATACATCGTTTTTTCTGTCTGGGGCTCCAGCTGGTTTAGATTGAACAATTAAGCTATCATTAATTAAAGCTGTAATAAAGTTATGATAACCGTTCCAGCCTCTCTCTCTCTCTCTCTCTCTCTCTCTCTCGCTCTCGCTCCCAGGTGGCTTCATCAGCTTCAACGGCTCGTGGCGCGTGCAGGGCATCCTGGCCATGTCCCGCTCACTCGGCGACTACCCGCTGAAGAACCTGAACGTGCTCATCCCAGACCCGGACGTGCTGACCTTCGACCTGGACAAGCTGCAGCCAGAGTTCATGATCCTGGCGTCGGACGGCCTGTGGGACGCCTTCAGCAACGAGGAGGCCGTGCGCTTCATCAAAGAGCGCCTCGACGAGCCCCATTTCGGCGCCAAGAGCATCGTCCTGCAGTCCTTCTACCGCGGCTGCCCGGACAACATCACCGTCATGGTGGTCAAGTTCAAAAAACGCAGCGCCAAAGCCGCCGAGCAGTGAGGCTCGACCGCCACCGGCCAAACATGAGAGCGAATATATTATCGGTCAATATTAATGTATGCATAGATTTAAGATGTAAAAGGAAATCTGTTTCATGACTATTTTTGGAACAAGAACTGTTTCTTATTGAAATAATGGCAAATAATATATATCCATTTCACCCCTCATTACATCATCGTAGATCCTTTGTTCCACGGTTGAGGAGGAAGTAGGACTTTTGGATCAGTGTAATGGTGACTAATGGGGTAGCCGACACAAGGCCACTTTAATGACTTCTGTGTTGTGCAATCTCATGTGCTGTGGAGGAATATATCTAGCTGATGTGTCATGCTGCCATTAAAGGACAGATAAGCAACACGTACAGTAGAATGCATCGTCACGTCTGTAATGCTGATTAGATTAGTGTCACTGCTAATATAAGGAAATCCCTTTTTTTGGAGGAAATTGAGCTTTGAAAATTGGAATATTTGACCATTTTTCTTTATTTTTTTATTTTTTTCTGAAAGTGGTTATTTTTGGTTATATTTCCATTTGTTCCCATTTTTTTTGGGCTAAAATATAAGTTAAAATTAAATTAAATCTAATTTTTCCTATTCTTTTTCTTTTTTCTTTTTTTTTACTTAACAGATAAGCTCTAAATCTATTTTGGTCTTTTTTTATTCCTGAATTTGACCTGACAAGCAACCTACTATAGGATGTATTTTTGTCATATTTATAGTTTTGTTTTGGGTGCTTTCTTCCCTCTAAAATTAGGCTAGGGTTTTGTTTTGTTGCATGTTTTTTTGTTTTTTTGTTTATTTTTAACTCTAAATACACAGACAATGTTGGCCAATATACTGCAAATAAAAGTTTTTCTCGAAACGTTGTTCTAATTTGACCTGCCAGTGGTCTTGATGCCGCTATTGCGAGACACATGTTGAGACCTGGTCAACATATTTCGGCTGTATTTCAGTATTCACCTAATATAAACAGCTGTGACCGTCACGCACAGCAGATACGTCCGTATTTACTCTTATAGACATCGCTTGGTTCAGGGTTTTTTAGTGGCTTTGTCCATTCTTTCATATAGAAATAGTACAATGTAAACAGTATACAGTCAGATTAGAGTGCTAGATTGTACAGGTAGATTGTTTAATTAAAGGTGTGCCTATGCACAGTGTGTTCTAGATGGGTGGTGTGCACTGGTTCGCCTGCACAGCCTGCCTACATACTTTAATAAGTACAGATTTAAAGAGCTACACTGAGCGAATGATTCATTAAATGCACAAAATGATTGGATTTGTATATATCCAGTAAGACGACTAGTGATTGGATGAGGGTTTGTTGATGTTCCAGTCATTGATATATTTTTTGTTTTACTGAAAGTGCATGTGCTAACTATTCTGAAGAGGAATTTCACCAAAATGTTTGAAATTTCTGCAAAATTCTATTGTTGCGATGTAAAGTCGTTCAGAGTGGTTTGATATCAAGTGGTGCATCTCTTTACAGTGGTGGTGATAGGAAACAGGGGTCGCCATGACTACAACACAAATATAGCCATTTTATTTATCTAAAACCACCAGTGAACCTACTTTATTCTTCTGAGTTTATATATGGAATATTAAATAGTAATACATGTGAAAAAGTAAGTTTGATTTGGGGACTATTTTGGCTCACAACACCCTGCACATACCCCTCCACCATAAACGGACTCAAAAAACATGTTTTAGCAAAACAAGTCAGCTTATTCATAACTATTTCATATAACGACTTTCTGTGAGGGAGCTTTTAGAGGATGACGTCTGGTTCCTATAAGCACCACTCTGAACAATTCTGACTCTTTAAGTTTCTCTAGAACAGAGCATTTCGCACCAAACCACACTGAATGACTCTGTTTACACCTTAACAATTAAATGCATTCAGCAATTTTGGAAAATGAGTGGAATTCCCCTAACATGTACTTTGGTAAAGGTTCATTCTTTTCCTCATTCTGTGCATTTGCTACAGCTGAACTAGTAACATTTTGAGGGAGAACTAGAACATGAATCAGTTCAGAAGATAAGATTGTTTTCACTGCAAATAGATCTGGCCCTAGTGGCAGCGTGGCCTTTACGTGCGACATTAACTGAAATCAGTGCGAATGCACAATGGATTGTTTGAATTTGTGCAACCGAATTGATCTGATATCTAAAACCGATTACAAGGAGCCTTCGAAGAAAATGCGTTGCCTTATTTTTATCAAAGACGCTCGACTGTCATCAGTTTATTTGCCAAAACATTATTGTCCCACAATGTACTGAGGCTGCCATGCACATCAAATGTAAATATGGTATTTTGCATATTGATGTCTCTTCGAGACTAATGAAGTGAATGTACATATTGAATATCATTAACCCCAATACCAATAAAATACAAAAAAAAAAAGTAATGCATCAAACTCTGGTTTATTAATAACAGAAGAGATTAATAGCTGATAGTCTTTTTATGTGTGATTTTGGTTTTTTTTTAATGTATATTCCTCCAGAATACAGTATGTGTTATAGAATGTTTATGTGGAGTTTGTGTTTGTTTCATTGAATTAAAGAAACTGTAAAAAAAGAGACAATTATGTGAATTTAAGAAAATTGAGCAAATAAAAAATACAAGGATTCAAATCTGAATTTGTTCATCTATTAATGATGTTGAGTGTGTTTGATGTGTTAACGAGGGGGCAGTGCAAGTAGAGAAGATAAAACAATACAGTGCATAATGTAAATGTACATTTCATGTGTAAATGTTAATATTTCTCAGTAATAAACATGATTTAGAGATCATGACATCACATCATTTCCAGAGAAACTAGTAGTCGAACATTTTCTAATTCCACAGAGTGACCATGCAATTAGGTTTTTAGTCTTGTGTTAGGTCACTACCTTTTTTATTACTTTACATTAACGGGGGACTCCACCAATTTTCCAAAATTCGCAGAATTGTTCACAGTGGTGGTGATAGGAACCAGATGTCTGAAGAGTTTAAGAGATGCTTTTTAAAGTTACCTCACCAGAAAGTACATGAAACAGCTATGAATGCATTACAGGATGTCTGAGACATTGTTTTACAATAGTTTAATGATAACATTCTGGTCTAAAATGTGTTTGTATAATAAATACATGGCGGAAGGATACATGCATGGCATTCTAACCCAAAATAGTCCCCAAAAAACATTTTTTTCAAATTGTCCACTAATTTACCATCATCAACATTACATATAAAAACTCAAAAGACACGTGTAGGGTTACTGATCGATTCATATAGTAGATAAAATGGCTATATTTATATTTCATTTGCTTCCATCTCTGTAAAGAAATCGGAGTCTGCAAGTTTCTTTGCTACGAACCACCTCAAATCGAACCACTCTAATTGACACTGAGGCGTTTACATGTACTTAATAATCCGATAACTGCCGAAAATCAGATTTTGTCACATTTTTGCAACCGGCCAATAAACTCACAGAAGAAAACGTGACGTAAACGTAACAAAAACTCAAACTTCATGAAACAGCTTTTTTAAACATCCTGAGAATTACTTAACAATATGGACATAGACCATTTAGAAGATGAAGAACATTTAAATCCTTTATTTCGTGTTTGGTTTCAGCGTCGCTCCAACAGTCCACATTCACCGTCTGTTCTCATGCATGCGCAGACTGAATAATCCGAAAGAAATTAGAGTAAGAGTTCACTGAGAAATCTGATTACTGAGCTAAAATCCAGCTCTTTTTATCGGATTTCATAATCAGATTTCTAGATCGGAGTATGGTGTATACGTGACACTTTGAATAATCAGATAACTGCAGAAATCCTATTATGATCGGATTATTGAGAACTCGGCACTCATTGTTTACATCCTAATAAATGATTTTTGTGGTCATTTTGAAAAATCTTTGGGATTCCCCTTTAACAGCCTGGAATTATGGATGCATTGGTTCTGCATGTTCTTATAATTACCACCGACTTGTCATGAAGTGTAATTTGGTGACCCTCCCATATTTATTTGGACTGTAAGTAGGGCAGGCTATTAGATAAAAGGCCAGCATGTCATTATCAGCTGGGATTGGCCCCGTAGACAGTTCTAGGGTGGGGTGTCTGTTTGTTGTGTCTGTGCACGTCACCTGCCAGACAATAGGAACCATACTGTAATGCATATTTCAGTCCTATACTGGTGGTTTTGTGGATGAAACATATTATGGGTTTATAACTGAATAATTTAAAGTGTTAATTTTAGTCGAGACAATTTTAAACCACGATGAGAAACTTATTACTACAAAACATACAACACTGTGCAAAAGTCAGAGACCATCTGTCATGTATTTACTTTCCAAAATTACCATTAAATACAAGTTACTCATTTTTTCAGTGTCAGGAAACATATATAACAGCAAATTACACAGAAGCCTCAACAACTAAATCTAATATCGGATGTTTCGGCGTTGAGTGTGTCACACTTTACCTTTATTCCAGCTTCCATTCTTTTCAGGAGACTCACTTTCAGTTTCTCAAAGAATCTGCAGACACACCTCCAAAGTTCAGTCTTAGAAGTTGGTAGGTCATTTTCTGAGGTCTGGACTCTGTGGTGGTCAGTCCATTGTTCTGAGAACACCAGCTTCAGCACTCTGTGTCTTCTAATGATGTTTGGGTGGTCTACCAGTGGTGGTCTTGCACTATTGGTAGGAATCCAATTTTCCTATTTAATGTTTAAAATGTTTTTTGGAAATATTTTACTTTGATTTTCATCTTCTTTACAAAAGTGGACCATTCCACTAAATTAGTTCAAACTGCAGCCCCACAGTAAAAAACTATTTGAAAACAAAAACACTTACAAGTATTTAGACGTTAGATATTTATAATGATTATGTTTCTATATCATAAACCCAAGGCATTAATAGAGATATTAATAAGCTAAAATTATACAAAATCATAATTTATAGGGTTCTTTCTGTTGGGAGATGTATGTCCCAAACCCTAACCCCTAAATTTACACTTTTGAAAATAATACTTGCTTTTTTGTATTTTTTACAGAGAATTTGAAAGATTTAGAGTTTAATTTAGATTTAGTTAAAAAAAAACTTAATTATAAATATACTATTCATGTTTTCATGTCACTACTGAAGCACAAAAAGTTTTCATCTGTAGGTGGAGCCATATTTTAGCCACGCCCCTGCATTTTAGAGCAGGAAATGAGGCTGCATCCATGTCATTCATGGCCACATGGTGAGCAGTTAGATCTCACTTTTTAGTAAATGTTTCCCAAAGTCTGAAAATTAGTGTAAAACATCAAGAATTGTCACTACCGAAACACATATTTTCTGCAGTTAAGTAACTTTTTATGTTTAAATGAAGAACATTATGATTTTATGTGTGTACAGCTGTTCAAAGCTGTGTTTGTCAGTCATGTACTGGCTAGCATTTTTGAAATAGGCTCTACTGGAGTGCGCAATCATTTATTTCAATATAATAACTGTAATTAATGTATAGAGTCATTCAAAACAAAAGGATTTTAAGCCCAAAACTGGTTTTGAACTCTGACTTTGACTGGAAATTAAATAAATAAAGGGCGGTCTGCACAGAGCTGCAGTTTAGCAGTTTAGTTTAGAGCAGAGGTCACAACCCAAATGTTGAGAAGAGCCATTTTGTCCTTTCAACAAAAATTAAAAAATCTTGGGAGCCACAACATTTAATGTCCATTTTACCATCTTGGCTGTAAATATGTCTCAGTATGTGCTATAGGCTAAAAAGTATAATACAAATGAAAACACAGACTCACTTTGCTCTGCTTTAAGCTTTAGCTCAGCTACAGCCACTTTTCTCGCATCTCCGGCAGGAAACTTTTCCGCAAAAGTAGAAAAAGTTTCTTGTAAAATGTCTCTCAACATTCAACTTTTTACGAGGCTGAAGATGCTTCTCATTCGCCAGCTTCTTGTTCACATTTTCCCATTCAACTTTAAATGGTGCCTGAAGCGCCAGAATGTAACTGCTGCACCATTTAAGGTGGAATGGGAGAATTCGAACAAGAAGCTGGCGAACGAGAAACTGACTTCAGCTTTGTAACTTTTTAGTGTTTGACAGTTTCTTGCTGCAGATGAAAGTCCATTCATAACCATTGTTACTATTATTGATGTTTGTCTTAAATCTTTTCTTTGCCTTTTGTTAGCTACTAGCTAGGCAAGATTGTTGTCTGCATTGCTATGGTGACCAGCAGTCTGTATGCCAACCTTCAGGGCTAAAGGGTGAATTAGCAGTTATACATGAACTCCAGCATTTAAGACCATTTATTGTTAAAACTGTGTTGAACGATCAGCAGAGCTTTATGTTACCGCAGAGGAGGATTATTTTATTGTTACCTAAAATCTAATTTTGCTGTGGAGCCGCAACAGGGCAGTAAAAGAGCCACATGTTGCTGACCCCTGCTGTTTTGCAGTAGTTTGTTCTGGAGCTAGATGTCTTGTTGTTGGGCAGCGACAACTGAGTGATACATTTTGAATTGTAAATCATTCAGAATGACGTTATGAGATAAATCAGTTCCGTATGTGATGTATGTCCACAGCATTAATCAAAATATTTATGTCCACAAGCTTGCTGATTCACATGAAGTGAAATATACTCTGGAATACTATTTTCATCTGTGCGTTTGTCACTGATTACAAAATCAGATGGGCCTCCAGAGTCAGCTTATGAAAATATCTATGATATCAGCGTACTTGGATGACTTCATCACCCTGATATCAGTGCTTGGATACCGGGTTACAGGAATGCCTGCAATCTGGCCATGAAAGGACTTCCGGTGCCCTGTCGACTTGCAGCAGATGCGACCCCTTGGATTGCTTGGTGAAACCTGAGTCACATGCCGCCTCGGAGTGGCAATGTCACTGCCGGGAAGGGAGCCTGGCTTACTTTAACCACTGTCACAGCTCAGGAATCCCACTGTGAGCTGTGCAGGTACCTCTCGTCTGTACTTTGACCCCTTTCCTTATTTGCATGTTTGCTAACAATCCCTCTCGTATAAGAGGCCGTTCCCTTTGGCTCCAGACCACACCAGTATTTTTGCAGTATCAGCCACAGAACTCTTCGTCGTGAGATTTTCCCTCAGTGTGATGGGATTGCACAGCTCCAAAGCCCCATCAGAGGCTCAGATTCTCATGCTTGGCCTTGATGGATCTGGCAAATCCACCCTGCTGTACAAGCTGAAGTACAATGAGGCAGTGCTGACTGTTCCCACTGTGGGCTTCAACGTGGAGATGCTGGAGACCAAGGACAAGGGTCGGACGTTGACCGTGTGGGATGTTGGAGGCCAGCTCCAAATGAGGACCCACTGGAAACACTACTACCAGGACACATCTGGGCTGGTGTTCGTGGTGGACAGCCAGGAGCAAAAGAGGTTTCCTGAGGCCAAGCAGGAACTGGAGCAAATCCTGGGCAGTGAGCACCTGAAAGGCCTGCCGCTGATCGTGCTTGCCAACAAACAAGACTTGCCGGGGGCTGCAAGCGCAGGAGACATCGAGGTGGCCTTGAACTTGAGGCAGATTTGCACGAACAGAGACTGGTTCGTTCAGCCATGTTCAGGAAAAACCGGTGAAGGTCTGGAAGACTGCTTCAAGAGGATGGTCCACTTTCTCAGGATAGCCATGGCGAAAGGAACAAAAGCAATAGATGCGCTGGGACCACTTTGTCAGTCAAATTGGTAAGCTGAGAGAAAAAGTTATTGGTTGAGACGCTTCGTTTGATGGATGATGGACCTTCAACAGGCTTGAGGCTGGTCTGCAGGAGAGATGCCAGCTCTTGCACTTGTTAACCGTGGATTTATTGTGAATGTATTTATGATGGTACCTTTATTACTTTATTATGGGTTTTATTTATAGACTTTGTTTGTCATTTGTTTGTTACTTTGAACATTTTATACTTTTCTTACTTTGATTTGTCGATGGATTGCAAACCAAATATATTTTGTATTTTATATGTGCAAGTTTTCGTCTGACTGAATTCTTGAATAAATTTACATTTTACTCAAAACCAGTTCATAAGAAACCTGGACAGACTGTAGACACCTGCTGATCCAGCGTTTCTCTTTAAATAAAGGGTATTAATAGTGAGTTTGTGCTGCAGTAACAGCCTCTACTCTTCTGGGAAGGCTTTACACTAGATGTTGGAACATTGCTGTGAGGATTTGATTGAGCATTAGTGAGGTCAGGTACTGAAGTTGGATGGTCAGTTCTGGATCCTGATTCATCCCAAAGGTATTGGATGAAGCTCCATCACCCCATAGAACACAGTTCCATTGCTCCACAGCCCAGTGCTGGGGGACTTCATACCCCTCTAGCCCACGCTTGGCATTGGGCATGGTGACCTTAGGCTCATGTGCAGCTGCTCCGTTCTATTGGCTAGTCCTTTTTATGAAGATTATACAAGCTGTAGGTCTAGATACTTTTGGACATATGGGGCTACTTTCCCAGACATGGATTAAGTCTGCACTTCAAGGATTGTTAAGTAAAAGAAATGCTATTATTTAGAACCATGAGTTTTATATAGAACCATTGCATGCTTAAATGGTTCTTTGCATGGTAAAATGGTTCTTCAGATTGATGGAGAATGTGTTGTAAATGGTTCTGTATAGAACCTTTTTGAAAATAGTTCTATGTAGCATCAAAAATGGTTCTTGTATTATTACGAGCTTGACATTGTAAAAGTAGCAGAACCCTTTTTGGTGCTCTATATAACGATATACAACACGTTCTCCGTCAATCTGAACAACCATTTCACCAAGCAAGGAACAATTTAAGCATGCAAATGGTTCTGCATGGTTCTATATAGAATTATATCCTTTACTAAAGAACACCTGAAGAACCAAGTGTACTATGTCTGCTAATTTGCAAAGTGTTCAGCTGATTTTTTTCTATGTAAAAGGTGTTATAAGACATGTCTAGAATAATGACTTGATATGTCAGCTTTCTTCTTGAGAACTTGAGAACATGATCTCTGCTCCCAGGGTTTGATTCACAGCATCTCTGGTTTAAAAAAAATCAGATCTGACAGCAAGAACCATTCCCTTTACTAAAGAACCCATGAAGAAATATCTTTTAAAGAGTGTAGTCTTGGGCTAAACTGCAATACTAGTGGTGACTCTACATAAGAAATTCTTTTCAGTGCAGTTGAGGCGCCGATGAAGGCATTACTGCATTTGTAACACAGCCGGCGCGCCGGGGAATCCCCTCGAATTGAAGTGAGCGGACCACAAAGCTGTGTTGTAGAGGAGATTGGGGATTAAAGCACGAATGATTATAAATGATTTGGTGAGGTGATGCTCTTAAGGCGTATTAAATTGTCCCTAGTAAGCCATTGTTTGTACAGGGGGGTCTCCTCCCTCAGACGTAGGGAACGAGTGAAGGGATCAAGCGGAAGTGCGAATGCAGCGGAATGAGATGCATCCCAAGACCGAGGCTGCACCCATACCACCGGCGTTCCCACTATGCAATGCGGGCTTATTACTTGCTCGCAAAAAAATAGTCCGGCGGTGGCTAAGAGAAGGGGCTGTGCTGAAGGAGACTCGAAAAGACAACCTAGCTCGGTTTTTCCTCCCCGTTTACTTATATCAGCATCCATATATTCGTAAACATGAATGACAACGAGAAGCTGGACAACCAGAGGCTGAAAAATTTCAAGAACAAAGGTCGGGATTTGGAGGTGAGTTAGTTGTGCGGTGTTAGGCTCCGGATGGGAGTCCCCGCTTTCTCTCTCTCTCTCTGCGCTGTGACGTCGTTTACATTTCAGACGGTTTTCGCTTTAGCTGTACAACATGGCATCTCCGAATTTGTCTTGTTTTGTTCGCCACAAGTGTGGCATTTTTTACACACGAAGTTATATCGTCGATCGCGAAGGCTCTGTCTCGACGGACCGGGTTTATTCATCAAGTCCCTTCGCATGAAATGCTAACGCTACTTGGGAGCTGCATGCTGGCTAACTGTGCCCTTCCCTCCGCGCCCCGCTGCGCTAAAATCCAGCCGGCGTTTTATTAAAATCTCGCTCCCATCTCCCGATAACATTTCGTTGACATATTTGTTAACATTTCTTTAACACCTTCGCCAACACATTCGCCGAAATCTCACTTTAGCTGGCTCGCTTTAGCATCCTAGCTAGCTAGCTTAGATGTAGCTGTGTCGGATGAGTCATTTAGTTAACGTTATTTAACTTGGCTAACATCTTAGCTACACGCTTAATAATCGCAAAAAGAAAGAGGTTCTTTCGAAAATGTCGATTCTGAGCACATTTTTCACGCTGCACCATCTAATGACTAAACGAGGGTAAAGTCAGATTCTTTTCAGAATTTTTCCGTTCCACCTTAAACGCTGCAGCAGATGCGTACCAGCGCCTGAGGCGCCAGAGTGTAACCGCTGCAGCATTTAAGGTGGAACGGGGAAATTCGAAAAACAAGCTATGGTTAGCAGGTTTAGCATCTCGCGTACTCAATTTCTCTGGCCTAGAACAGTCAGCAAGAAGGCCGAGATGGAAATAATCCCACATTCGCTCGGATTATGAGGACTGTTTAGTTTCGTAGGTAACCTAATTGTCAACAGATTGCCTAACTTTACTGTTTACCGTCGAAACGTGACTTTTTAACGGCTGGTTGACTAGCGGGTTAGCTTAGCGAAGTTAGCTAAGCTAACTAGTTAGCCAGCGCATTGGTAATGGCTTTGTATCTCAACTAGCCACTCTAGCTTAGCTGTTAGCTAGGTTAGCGTTTTGAAAGAAAGAATCTGTTTTTGGACATCATTTTCACCAAAATGTGCGCACGACTTAAAATAAAAACGACATCGCTAGCAGCTCTAGCTAGCTAGGTTATATATTTCGCAAGCGGCGTGGCTGGTTTCTTTAGCCAGTTCTAGATAGTTCCGTCACGTTCTTTTAAAATTAGTCTTATTCCATGGCATTACTTAAGCTGTCTTAATGATTAACGTTAATTGTCCTACACTTAAAAAAAGGTTCTTCTGTAAAGAAAATGTTTCGGTATAGAACCATGAGCTCTATATAGAACCATGTCCATGCTTAGAGGGTTCTTCAGAGGCAGAGAACGTGTTATACAAGCAACCTTTTTTGAAAATTGTTCTATATTAGCAGCAAAGGGGTTCTTCTATTGTATACAAGCTTGACATCAGAACCTTTTTTGGTGGAGCTATATAGAATCATATAACACGTTCTCCATCAGTCTAAAGAACCATTTCACTAGGCAAAGAACCGTTAAAGCATGGGCATGATTCTGTATAGAACTTGTGTTTCCAGATAGAACCATTTCTTTTACTAAAGAATGTTAAAGAACCATTAAGTGTGGAGTTACTGAGGCTGTTAAAGGGTTCAGCTGATTTGCAGTTATAGAAGGTGGCCTAAGATGCTAAATGTCTAAAGCATATCTAGAATAATGACTTAGTAAGCTTTCTTTTTGGGAACATGAGAACATGATCTCTGTGATTTCATTCCCAGCATCTCTGATCTATAAAAAACAAACCTGAAAGCCTTAGTAAAGCAAACAGTGTCCCATTTAAGGGAGCAAAGTCTTTGGTCCAGCCATATTCATGGGAGCACATGCAAAAGCATGTTTGTGTATTCGACACTGGTGTTGTTTCATTGTTCATATGTCCCGTTCCTACTTACATTTCTGCCAACAATATGCAAAGGTTGGTGGCGAAAGCTGCAGTGGACAAAACAGCTCAGTGATCCTTTGTTTCTTAATGATAAGCAATAATGCAAATAATGCCTTTAATAATGCAAATAAGCAGCTGAATAGAACTGTGTGAAGTGACTCATTACAGACACTAAACTCTGTCTATACCTTTTAAATACTGTCCTATGCTTTAAATGCTTGACTGTACACTGTAAATGCTGCGTGCCACTTTGTCTGCTTCTGACTTTATTCTGTGTACCGTGATTCAGGGCAGCTGCACGTGTGAACATGTATTTGTGTCTGTTGCTGTCGCAGTAGTGTGGTGACACGGATTGGACTGACATTCCTCAGACGCTTGGCCTGCTCTCAAAGCGCTAACGGATGTTCACAGCTTCTCTTCCTGGGGCATGAGCTCACATGTTTCTCTGCCTCTGTCACCTCCATGTAAACACTGAACGCGACACCTGATCCATCAGTAATATTAGGCAGTGACATTTGCTTGTGTTTATCAATCGGGGTGTTGAGGTGGACGGTAGGGCCAAACTAAATTATCACGATAATTCAACAAAGTTTCGCGATACATGACACGTCACAATATTTTTTGTGGATCAGGCAAAAAGAGCTAGTAGCGCCACATACCATCAAACTTTGAGTACAAAAGGTTTTTATGTGATGTTTTACATACCGTGTTGCATTGAATCTTTTAATGAAACAGGCAGTTGGTCAGCATGCTAGAAGTACTGATGATATCCATAATGTACTCAGAAAAGCATATTGTGATGTAATTTATCACAGTAAAATTGCCCAGACTTAGTTTTATTTTGTAGTCTTTTCCACATAAATGTTTAGAGATATGGTTATTGATTACAAGGGGTTTGAGATTAAGGGTGGAAAGTGAATTAGTGTAAAAGTTTTCCAATCAAATGACTGTAATAAGCCCAAAATTGGTGAACTACAAACAGTCCCTGATGCAGATTTACAATTTTGGCCAAACAATTCTCAAAAACCGCAACACATTTTTCTTCTAATTCTTACTATTAGAAGTCAGTTCGTTAATTTGTTATGAAGAGAAAACCCAGAGGAAAAACTGCATAGCTAGCATCACATCTCTGTGTGATCCCATTCATTCTCTTTTCCCTCTGATATCCCATCCAGCATTTTCTACCTGTATCAGGCGGATACCTGTTGTCTCTGGTGCTATATGGTGATATCATTATTGTGAGAAGAGTAGAAATTAAAATATTGATATAATTTTAAAGTCCACCCATGTTAGAGAGAGAACTAACCTGGAGAAATACCCTCCTCACATTATCATGCTAAAACCTGTTCGCAGCTGATTGTTATTCAAGGATCTGCAACAGGGAACGGATCAGATATCCTCCTGTTAACCACAGGAAAAGGGGCCGAAATAAATAGTGAAATTAATGTAGAGCTGTAGGTGAGATCAGTGGTGCAAAAATTCAACAGCAAGCGGCGGAATACATTTGAAATAGTTTTATTAGTAAAAACGGTCAGAGGGAAGTCAGTAACATTAGTTTTAAAGTCGCACTAGTAACTGAGGCTGCCTCTTCAGATGAGCTAACACTACAGTCAACATACAACACTGGATGATGAACTTTTCGCCTTCTACCCAAGTGTTTTCTCCTTAGTGGACAATGTGCAGACATTAGTTTGTCAGAGAGATATTTCCATTGTTTCTGGACCTAGCTAACACCAGCTAGAGTTGTTAGCCTGGTTAGCAATAATGCAGCGCTACATTTGGCTTCTCAACATGTCTTTCGTGACATGGTCACGTGCAGGTACACACATAGTGTAACATGCCTACTTAATCACAAATAGAAGCATTTTACAGTCCTGTTAAAACATAAGAAGCAGCACTTCATTGACTTCATGCTGAATATTCAGTGATTGAATGATTGCAGGTTATGAAAGGTGCTATATAAAAAAACCTGCCTTGCCTTGAACTCTATGTTCTATGAATGTTGAATTTAGTCTACTTGATGTATTTTTAAGAAACATGGACCTGAAATTCTAACTAGCCTAAAGATCAGTAGCAGTTTTCATGGAACTCTCATAAAATAAGTATTTGGTAAAATGGGATTTAAAAAAATTCCATTTACTCCAGGGTTTCTCAAAAAGTGAGAGTTCTTTCTTAATAAAATTCTGGCATTTGTGTGCCGTCTGTCTGTTTAGGCATATTCAAAGTCTTTGCACACAATCATCACATCATTCAACACATTGTGGTTGTGCTACTTGTCACACGGTCAAATTCCCAGGTTTTGACTGCCATAATAAGCATCTGACCTTTATCTCTTTGACTCACTGAAATGTTCCTGGTCTCTCTTCCACAGACTATGAGAAGACAGCGAACAGAGGTGGTGGTTGAGCTGAGAAAGGTAATCATAGTTATGCAGTTTCCTCGAATTATTGACTCTTTAAGTAACTTTATTGTTCATTAGTTGAACAATATTGAAAAAATCATGTAATTGGAAGTGTTAGATGTTCGATGCTACCCCTGAGTCAAGCACATAAGAATGTGGAGTTCCTTGTCCTCATCACCTGATTGTTTCATTAATAGCAATGTAAAGTAACGTTCAGGTGATATAGCACTATATAGAACTGGGGGGCAGGAGATCAAAAGGAAGGTCTGAATGCCCTGATTATGTGCAATTTCGCTCAGAATAAAAGGGACGAGCACCTCCTGAAGAGGAGAAATGTGCCACATGAGGACATCTGCGACGACTCTGATGTTGATGGAGATTTCAGAACGGTAAGAGAAATATAATATCTCTAAAAATAATATATAATCAAACATACGTCAATGTGTTTATTTTCAATTTCAGTACTTCATTATGTTAAGTCAGGTGTGCTGGATTAACAAATCCTTTTGATGTCAGGGGCGCTGAGAAAAAGATGTCAACTACTTTTTTCAAAATAAGGAATTTGAATTACTCTATATATGTGCATAAATTTTGCCTCTATTTCCAATGATATATGGTGTCTTTACAAGTAAAAACACACTTGGTGCAAAGATAAATGGTTTCAAACAATGAGCTTAGGTGCCTAAGACTTTTGCACAGTGCTGTATGTCTGTCGTTAGTGTCCACTTGTGTTCTTTGTAATGTCAACTTTCCTTAGTGAACTGGACAGTTGCTTATCCTGTTTTCTGGTTTATTTACAGCAAAACACTTCTTTGGAAGCAATAGTCCAAGTAAGTGAAACATTTTTTGACTCATTGAATGAATATATAGGCTGTTAATAATATAGGCTGATGTAAAAGCTCAGCTTGGCTTGGTGTCAAGTCTGCTTTTTCATATCTTTACACATTTGATATTAAACATTTCACAGTGTGACTGGCTAAAGTGCTGTTTTAGTATATTAGAGCTGGGCAGTACTGACAAAACTCATATTTTCCATTATATAATCATATTGTGGTATAAATAGGAATAATAAAGTTTGCATTAATAAATGTAATAACTTTATTTAATATAACTTTAATATAGTAAGCGAGCCCATACAATCTGAGTGCTACTACTGTAATAAAATCTTGACGGACCTCATTTTGGTTGGTCTTTCTTGTTTAGTGTTCTTATGTAAGTAAATATGAACCAGATAGATTTATTTATTTATTTACAGAAAGAAAAAGTAATTTCCAACCATGCTTGATCCCTTAGAATTAAACAGGCTGCTTTGGTTGCTATGCCTTTAAGGCCATTCTGTGTAAATGACCTCTGTACTGATTGGCTGAGCAGTAGCTCAGCAGTAGTATTCCTATTAAGGCCCAATCCCATTTCACCCCTCGCCCCATACTGCTTAGCCCTCCGCCCTCTGTTTTGAGCGTTCGCGTCTAGGTGTAGAGTGTCCCAATTTTGGTTGAGATAGAGGGGTAGGATGAAGTGTTAGGGCAACATGGCCCTCCAAATGTTTTTAGGCACACTCCAAACAGAGTGTTATGAGGGGAAAAGAAGAAAAACCGGCAAGATGGCTGAGCAAGAGATCAAAGAAACCCACAAATGCGAGAATTTTCTGGCCTGAAGCGCCAGAATGTAACTGCTGGGCCATTTAAGGTGGAACGAGAAAATACGAACGAGAAGCTGGTGAATAGCTGACTTCAGCTTCATATCACCAAAGAATTAGCGGTGGGCGATAGTAAATAACTGTTTTATACCCCTCTTTGAAAGGATATGATGGCCTAAATGTAACTAAAGCCCAGCAGTGAGGAGCTGAACTTTACCCTCCTCTGCTGTCACTGCAGACTGGCAGGGTCGACTACAGAGCAGCGTTAGTAGCTGTTAATGAAGTAATGCTCTCTTTATTTGAGGGTCCCATTTCATAGGGGAAGATTGTAACCACTACCCCTTGTAACTCAGTTCCAAGGGGTTAGGGTGACACTCAAAAACAAGGGGTAGGGGTGAAAAGAAGAAGTGGGATTAGTGTAAGGAATTGTTCTAAAGCTGCTTATGCAGTAGTGCGGTGGTCTATGTTGTGTTCATTGTGCTGTTATTGTCTATGTGTTTCTAGTATTTTTGTTAACTCTGTTTCAGAACGCTACCAGCGATAACCAGGGCATTCAGCTGAGTGCAGTGCAGGCTGCCAGGTAAGCTACTCCTGATGAGGCACCTCACCCAAGAGCCTTAACCACGCGACTGAGGCTGAAACATTCCTTGAAGGTTTTCAGAGCACCTATGGAATGTTTTGCAGGGGTAAACTGCTCAAGATGAGGCCGTTCGTCTCTGGCTTCACTGTGTACAGCCCAGCTGCTGCTTTGAGACGGGTGGTATTGCGAAACAGTGTAGAGCAGGGGTGTCAAACTGAGTTCCTTCCGGGCTGCAGCGCTCATGAAGGCCTTCCAATTCGCATGAATTCAACTCATGAAGACCTTGCAAAATAGCTGAGTTGAATTACGTGTGTTTGAGGAGTACTCTGTGGAGTTGTGACCCAGAAGAAACCCAGTTTGATATCTGTAGCATGGAGCTTGTTTCTATTGGAGTTACTGGTCAGGACAGTACAGTGAATATCAGAATGGTCGCTTTTTTCCCTATTGAAGATCAGTTTAAGAAGATTAGTATCATAATTGGAGATGGCACAGTACTTTTTTTTTGAAACCTTGAGTATTGGGACTACTGGTCATGTAGATGCTGCTTCGTCTGATGCCAAATTGCCTTCCTGCTGTGACTAGAATGCAGGCAACTCAGAAATAGCAGTGCGGCATGTCGCATGCAAGTGACATTTTTCTTTGTACAGAATGTTTTTTTTTTTTTATTATTATAAATGTGAGTAAAACTGTACAGCCCTGTATGTATTTATGTACCATGCACATGCTGTGCAATGTCCTACTTCAGCTCTGCTCTTATCACATGACTTTCTCATGTTGTTACTGATGTTATCAGTTGACCAAGTGCACTGCAGGCAATTTTATGCGGTTTTCAGGCTGAATTAGTGACCATGTTGGATAGAGTTTGTTCTTTGGATTGGTGCAATTACGAAATACACCCGGCCATTTCTTTCGAAATCTCTTCGAACACGGAGGTGTTTTGGGTCAGTCTCTTCTGATTTTTGTACAGAAATATCACCCCAAATGTTTATTAGGTCTCAGCAGCGCGAAATTATGACGAATATCGAGTTGGATTGACGAAAAGCCGTGTGAATTCCGATCTGGCTGTTGAGACAATTTACATTAAGATATGCAGAGTATATTTACAGTACAAACATTCAGTGAACTATATTAATTGTAATCGAGGTAAAATATTCTATTAATCATGATATTGATTTGAGGTCATATTGCTCAGCACTATGCCACATTAACCTAGAAATTTCACATCTGTGTTGAAGCTGAGGCAAATTGTGATATTTAGATGTAATTACTGATTTGCTCTTTGAAAACGCTTTTTCTCTTTATAGGAAACTTCTGTCAAGTGACCGCAACCCTCCGATAGATGACTTGATAAAGTCTGGAATTCTACCCATTCTAGTGCACTGCCTGGACAGAGATGACAAGTAAGACTAAATGCCGTTCTTTAGTTCTCTCACTAAGAGCTTGCGTTTGTTTTAGTGGGTGAGCGTTCTGCTTACTTTCTTATTGCTGCTTGTTTTTTGTTGTTTAGTCCATCTCTCCAGTTCGAGGCAGCCTGGGCTTTGACCAACATCGCTTCAGGAACCTCTGAGCAGACACAAGCAGTGGTGCAGTCCAGTAAGTGTCAATTTAAATATGCGTCAAACTTTGTGGACAGTAATGCTTGTATATTTTACTGTGTAATATCAAAACAATGTTAAAATACTTTTTTTAATAAACAGAATTCCTGCCCTTTACATTGGCAGCGTTGCATGACTAATGGTTGAATGGAAATGATTCAATATGATCTAAACTTTAAAATTAAGAACTTCTTTTTTTTCTCTTGTAATGTTTTAGTTACTGAAGATTTGCATATGTTTTACTTACTGTTATGCAGTGTGATGTCTTTTTAGTGTCTGGTTTGTTCTCTTGGTAAGTTACTATTAAAAAGGACAGTCGGATTATTAAAATAAGTTTTGTTTAATCATGATGAATTGCATTTGTCTAATTTACTCAAACTTAAAAGCAGTGCATTTTGTTATAGCTGTAAAACGGCGTGAATCAGACTGTAGCGTATTTCTTTAAAAGCCATTTAGCCAGTTGGATCGACAGGGCTACAATCATGGGTTATGTCATGGGTAGCCTTCAGCACGCAGCAGCTGGGCTTCAGCCTGCACTGCTATAAATGGTTTGATGATTCAAATTAGGGAAATGTATTCAAGTTAATCTCGTTAAAATCACATGACTGTCTTACTTATGTACATTGCACATTGCTGCAATGAAAAGAGAATGCTGGAGGCCGATGTCCTGCTGGGAAAAGGAGAGTTTCAAGGTTCTGTTTGTGGTAGAATGTAATAAAGCTGGATGCTTGATTTGAAACATGCTTTAAGGTTAAGTTAATCACCATTTCACTGAACGGAGCACAGACAAGTAGTCACTGAATGCACATGTAGAGCATTCAATAAACGGATCGATGTTGAAATAAAATTCAGAAAGAGCTATGAGGCTTGTGTGCTGTCAGCAGTGAAGCAGTACGAAGAGAACAGTGCTTCTCTGGGGAATGTGGAGAGCAGCTATGCTGGCCTCAGTGCCAGCCTGCTAGTGAGTCATCACTGTGAGAGGGAGAAATGTCTGAGTCATGCTGTCTTTAATCACGCTTGTGTGTGTCTGCAGATGCAGTTCCTCTGTTCCTCAGGCTGCTCCACTCTCCCCATCAGAATGTATGTGAACAAGCTGTCTGGGCACTGGGCAATATCATTGGTGAGTGACTGTCACTGTCAGCGTTTGGCCTAAATACTTTCAGTCTGGAGCAAAACCACTTTTTCTCTTCTGGTATTGATATTAAAACATTGAGTATCTGCTTATACGGATAGCAACCCAATATTTTCAGGTAAAAAAAACTGCAAAGCGATAAAATAAGCTATTTTTAATTGAAACATTAAAGAAACATTTTCCAATTTAATATAATCCCTCTGTTATGTGAAAGACAACTGTGAAGAGTATTAAATAACTCCTTAATTCGGGCTTTGTATGATGTATTGTGCCCTTTCTTTTGACCATCTGTGAGGGGAAAACTGCGTTTTCTGGTATCTCATAACAAGAATACATATCTGGGGGCAAAGTTTCTGCGCTGGTTCATGACGAAATCTGCTGCAAACAAGGGTGGGACCCCGTCTAAAACCTCTCCCAGATTCCATGCTCTAGGGTCCGAGCACAATCACTTACACAAGCAAAACAAGCTAGTTAGCTTTCGTTAGCCAACAGCTATTTTTCCAAACTCAGGTTTTGTTAGATGACAGCAGGTGGCAACCAATGTTCAGTTGACAAACCGTGAAGGTTACAGATGTTTAGGTTAGACTAATATTTCAAACTCATTTGATGTATTTATTGTACTGTAGATATGAATAAAAACATAGATCACTGTATTCATAGTTTTTTTTTCAATGTTGCACTTCTAGCTTATCAAATGTGAAGAAATGTTGTGATGTAAGGTGTGTATCATGAACACATCTTGAAATGTCAAATATTTGCCGTACCGCCCAGCTCTACTTATTGTATGAACTTGTTAAAATGAAAGTAAAAAAAAATCTAAGTTAAATTGAACCAACCACATACGTTGTAAATATCACACGTGATGCTACTCAGCCAATCAGATCTTTGCATTACGATGAGCACTGAGACTCGAGGCGAGAAACAGCAGTCGGAGGAGAAAGTGAGTCAGAGGGAAGTTATTTCACATGGCATGCTCTAAAAAGAGAAAACTGACAATAAATGTTGTTGAAATATGACTAAATTGTACTTTTATTTGATTTGACATTCAGTTGTTGACTACATAAGATGTTTATACTACTAGGCTACTTCACTATACAGTATATGGCACTGAATCATGATGCAAGTTAGATATGATGTTCCGGACCTCTGTCTGGACCTTATTGAATTTAAATTAAATACCCCTGCTGTACAGTGAATAGGAGTGAGTTAATGCTGCTGTGTTCCCTCAGGTGATGGTCCCCAGTGCAGAGACTATGTGATCAGCCTCGGCGTGGTGAAACCATTGCTGTCCTTCATCAGCCCCTCCATCCCTATCACCTTCCTGCGCAATGTCACTTGGGTCATGGTTAACCTCTGCCGCCACAAGGACCCACCTCCACCTATGGAGACCATCCAGGAGGTCTGTGGGGTCAACTGTAGTCAGCTAGTTAACCAATAATTTGGTTGTTTTCTTTACAGTGGGACTGTGACTGTCAATATTATACTAGTAATCATATTGGTTTATATTAGTTAAGTAATTCACTGGTTAATTTGGCAATTAAAGAAGTAATTCTGCAAAAAATCTGTGACCTGTTTGAAGTCCAAATCTTTTTAGCTTAAATCTGGAGTTGTTATGCGAACTAACACCAGAACTCAATAGTTTATATAGTTTCTGTAAAAATACATCACCAAAACTTCTCAAACCGCTTTCATTTTAATAGCTGTTAATAGTTATTAGTCATACTGTGACCTAAACCTCATCAACAAGACTGTATGACCTTAAGACCTGGATGCAATTGAAGCCGCAAGTTTTTGGTATTAAATTTTTACAGAAATGTTTTGGGGGACTGTTGAGTTTTAGGGTTTGTTAGCAATGATGGCCTCAGTGCTCAAGTTCTAAAGAAGGAAAATTTGGGCTCCAAACATGTTAAATGGAAAATTGTGTTTGCCAAACCATTCCATTAATCACAGTTTAAAACAAGGTCAAACAGTAAAAATGGACAACCGTGCACAGCCTTTAAGAACAGGAAAGAGACAAACAAACAAGCCTTTATAAGACTTCGTTAACAAATGTGAAAACCTTATATGGCAGAAAAATGCATATAAATGATCATATCTGTTTATTGTAAGAGAGAGCATTAGAAAAAAATGTGTAATTAGCATTATTGTTATGCAAATTGCCAACTAATCATTGTAGATTCATTGAGAATGTAAATTTTAATGTATGTTCTGCGGTCTTAAACAAATTAGAGATTAAGCTTTGCTTAAGTGACGAAAAGTGCTATGCTGAAGAAAGTCTGTTTAACTGGAAGCGGGGGCTGTCCCGTTGTTTGTAGGAGACTGCGCAGACTCGAATAAGTCGTTATGATGCTTTGTTTGTTTATTTCATGTTTTCTCTGTGTTCCCACAGATTCTGCCTGCGCTGTGTGTTCTGATTCATCACACGGATGTGAATGTAAGTTTTGTCTCACAGTATTTACAGAAAAATGTACATGCCAATGACACTAACTTCTCCCTTGTGAACATGTACGTGTATGGCTACATGAGTGAGGAGTGGGCATGGCTGTGAGCTGAGAGTGAGCTAGGTTGTGTGTTGTGTCTGGGCAGATCCTGGTCGACACAGTGTGGGCTCTGTCTTACCTGACTGATGCTGGAAACGAGCAAATCCAGATGGTCATCGACTCTGGCATCGTCCCTTACCTGGTGCCCCTCCTCAGCCACCAGGAGGTCAAAGTACAGGTCAGCAACCATGCACTGTTAAATAGCACAACCTTGCGTCCAGGGTAATGAATGAAAATAGATTTAGGTAAAAGATTTAGAGTTTTGAAATTTGTTAATACTTGCTTTGTTCTTTAGAGAACAATAATGTTTGTGATCCTCGTGCACTTAAACACATTGTAGTTACTTTAACGGTTAACTGTAATTGTTAGAAGTAATGGTGAAAATTAGTCTCCACTGGGTCATATACAGCAAACAAATGCAGCTGGGAAATTGTGCACCCAAAGCTGTCACGATTTCTGCCTGAATGGCTCCTCAATATGCGTTACACAAGTAATAAAATTAACCACCTTATTTCCTTAAAAATTATTATTATTATTATTTTGTTTAGGAAGCTACATGGGTCCCCCTGTATAGCAGTTCTGTCATATTGTCTGTTTTAGACACTTTTTTGTTGGAGTTATCCCTACCACAACCTACTTATTTGCTGAAAGCATTCGAGGCCCAAAAACAACAAATCACTGTTGTTTGGAAGAAAACCTCCTGTCTTCAAAATGGTAACTTTACAGGAAAAGGAAAAAGGGGATAAGTGTTACCTGCTGTACTGTACCAACCACAGTGTACAGTGTACTTTTTTGTCGTTTGAGAATGGTAGTGACTTCTGCAGTAGTCGTCCATGAACACAACTGGTCCATGTTCTACTTACGAAGTCTTATAAATGCACAGTCATTGTGTAAGCAACAAATATACCTTGGAGCCATTTGTCAGCTAAGTACCTGACTTCTAAAAATTCTTCTGTAATGCTTTCCAGTCTTTTAAGCTTCAACAGCTTCTCCTCTGAGGCAGAAGACAGACTTCGTACATTTTAAAAGAATTACTCTTTTTGAGAGATCTTTGTCCTAGAGGTTCACATCTTGTATGTTGATCTTTTTGTTCTTTGCTACTGAATGTATTATGAGGATGTGGATGAAAATGCAGAAATTCAGGTTTCTCAAATCCAGCTTTCTCAATTGTATTTGCTTGCCATAATTTACATGACCCAATGGTGTTTGTCTAGCGAGGACAGGCAAATAATGAATCTTTTTGTTTAAAGCACACTACTGGGTTTTTTTTATTTAGTTTTTTTTTTCCTTTTTTCCTTCCACATGTGAAGAGAAAATGCTTAGGACCCTTCTGAAAACATTACCTGGTCCTTTTAATGTGTTGTTATTGCCTTGGAAATGCAGCATCTGTTGGTATGATCTGTAATCAGAGGGAAATATTTCAAGGCTGTACACTGATAAGCCTGTTTGTTCTGCTGGTAGACGGCAGCGCTGCGAGCAGTGGGGAACATTGTGACCGGCACGGATGAACAGACGCAGGTGGTGCTGAACTGCGATGCCCTGAGCCACTTCCCTGCCCTCCTCACTCACCCTAAGGAGAAAATCAACAAGGTCTACAAACACACATTTCTGTCACTGTGTTTTACTGTATATAGATTTGTGCCTGGCAAGAGACCATCTAGGTCTGTTTTGGTGACACATAATAAACACGGATTTTTATATTGATATATGACAAAAATTAGTTTTCGTTACCGGGCAGTTCAGAATACAAAAAGGTTAAATAATTGTTTTCAAAGCTGTGAAAGGCTCCCTTTGTTGTACTCAAGGGGAGAAAATGTATAAAAACAAGCAGTCAGGTTTGTAAGATGTTCATTAAGCATAGAACAGCAGTAATGGCAGATGCAGAAACGTCTGTTTCTGATGTTTCGTCTACTCTTTTCTATTAGTTAATGCAGTTTCTGAATGCTAGTCTTGGGTTTATTTGCTAAGAATATTCGTCGGTTTTTATTCAGTTTGTGACACTCTATCTTGGTTATAATAAGCGCTTTGGATCCAAACTGTGCTCAGAAAAAAAGGTTGCATACACCAAGAAACGAAGCCTTCTGTTCTACGTGCTCATGAAATTTCACATCATAAATATCTGATGCTGTAATATTTGAAAAATATTATTATTTTAAATGTAATTTTAATACAGCCTAGCACAAACTTGTATATGGTATGTTTTTATTGCACTTGTTTGGTGCTGAGATCATTGCACGTCTGTCGATAGCTTGGCACAGATTCAGTGTTGGATATGATGATAGTAGAGACATGGCGCTTGTTTGTATGATGTTTGTATGGTGCTCTTTGTTTATAGTACTCATAGTGCACTCTAATGTAGACCACCGGAGAGGTTTGATGCCGTGGATGAAGATCTACCAAGGAACAACACTTGTAGACTATTAGGGTTTATATTTCACAACAGGGGTACAGTTAAGTAGTGGGTAGGGGGTGGAGGTATAGGGTGTGTGTTTGTGTGAGTGAGTATTGGTTGTCAAACTGGTGAATAGGGGGTGCTAAAGACCACTGAGTCAATGCAGAAAAAGGAGTGCATCTGAGGCCCATCACTCTCAAACAGAGGCTTCTTTGTGATTGGGCTGATGATTAAAGCCTCAACGTCGCCCCCTTTCCCAGTTCCCCCAGTGCCATTGTCTCAGCCAGGGGCTGCGGCTTCTCCCACAGTTCTCTGGGGTCTGATCCAACACTGTAGTGCAAGCTTTTCCTATGCAGACCGGCTCAATGTATTTACAGGAAAAAGTAAAAATAAGCATTAAGTAAGAATAATCAAAGAAGAGTGATAATTGAGGTTGTGAGTGTTAGTGTGGTGTCTCTGTTGACCTGGATGTTTCTCCTGCAGGAGGCAGTGTGGTTCCTGTCTAACATCACAGCTGGGAACCAGCAGCAGGTCCAGGCAGTCATTGATGCCAACCTGGTGCCCATGATCATTCTTCTGCTTGACAAGGTGCTGAATTCTCTGTTATTTCTTTTTAATTTATTTATGTATTTTAAAAATCTTGTTGGTTGGGGAAACAATATATACTCTTTCTATACATAGGTTGCAAGACTAGTAATTGAAAATGGTTACGTTTTATGGAAAATAATTGATTGCCAAAGTTGTTGCATTATCCTCTTTGTTCTTCTGGAATGAAGGTGCGATGATGTATCTCATGTTAACACGAGCGAACCAGTTTTCCGCTAGTCTGCCTTGACAGGTGACCAGATAACACTTTGGCAGTACAAGACGGTTAGGCAGGCTTGGTTGTTGCAGTAGTAGTAGTAATAATAGTAATAATAATAATAATAATAATAATTTTATATAGAATGCTTTACAGACAGATTATGCTTAACAGTAGTGTAAGTTACTAATTGAGTACTAATTTATAATCAAAAACAGAAATACTGAGATATAGATTTTTAGTTTAAGGTTAAGACGTACGTTTTTATGTTTCTTAAAAGTGAGCACTGAGCTCGACTGTCTAATAGAAGGTGGAATGGAGATGAACAGTTTAGAAGCAGAATAAGAGTCTCTTCACGCAGGAGGTCAGTATCTGCAGATCTAAAATGACGAGCTGGAACATAAACAGACAGACGATCTGCGATGTAAGAGGGTGATTTAAGGTCGTTTAGAGCCTTAAAAACTTTCTTGCAGAACATTAAAATCTATCTTGAAAGGTACAGGAAGCCAGTGTGGTTCTTTGAAAATGGGAGTGATGTAGCGCCTCTTGCTGCAATTCTCAAAATGCAGCTTGTTCTAGTGTTGCGCTATTAAATTGCATCTGGACACGTTTTTGAAAAGCGGTGTTTGCGTAGCTCAACACGTTTGTATCCTGTTGAAGTTTAAAGTCTTTCACGTTTCTTCTCAGACCTGATCTTTTTCAGGATGCACATGGTTGTTGTTGGAAAGCTGGTTTATGTGTGTCTGTATTTGTTTTCATATTTGTACTGGATACTCACGCAAATAAATGTCAAGTAAGCGTTCTTCAGGTTATTGTAACAATCTAATCAGTGTCGTACTTTTACAGGGAGATTTTGGCACTCAGAAGGAGGCAGCCTGGGCCATCAGCAACCTCACAATAAGTGGCAGAAAAGATCAGGTAAGACTCGCAGCTTTTTATGAGACTGTTTATTTCCAGTGCTTTAGCATGGATTGTAACTGTCTACATGCTGTAACTGTCCTTTAGGTTGCGTACCTGATCCAGCAGCAGGTTATCCCTCCCTTCTGCAACCTGCTGACGGTGAAGGATGCTCAGGTGGTGCAGGTGGTCCTGGATGGACTGAGTAATATTCTCAAAATGGCTGATGATGAGGCAGAGACTATTGCCAACCTCATTGAAGAATGTGGAGGTCAGCCAATTTGCTTGTTTGTTTGGTTTTTTATTTATTTATTTATTTATTTATTTATTTATTTAGCTGTTGTCGGAAGAAAACCTTCTATCTCCATTTTTGTCGTTTTTCAGTTTTTGATATAATCTGAAAATGCCTGTTACTCTTTACATTGTGTGTAAATTTCATGAAGAATGGACCAAAAGAAACATCAGAAAAAGTCTGGTTCTATTGACTGACATTAAAAGTAAAGTAGGTGTTGCTGTTGTTGTGTGTGGTTTTGTTAGTTACCATTTTGGAGATACAAGATTTTCTTCTGACAACAGTGATTATGTAGCTAATTGGGTGTATAAGCTTTGGTCTTGAGCAGTATATTTAGATTGTTTTGTATGTGTGGATTTTTATCTTTCTTTTATTCAGGCTTGGAGAAGATTGAACAGCTGCAGAATCATGAAAATGAGGACATCTACAAACTGGCTTACGAAATCATTGATCAGTTCTTCTCATCTGATGATGTGAGCTTTGCTCTTACTTTGTGAGGCTTGAGGGATTTAGTCTTCCATAAAATATGCTACATTTGAAGGGACTGAGGGATGATTTCATATACAGAAATTCGCTAAATTAAAAGATTAGTTCTTTGCTGCTCCAATTTAGTCACAAAAAAATAAGGTTGTCATCTAGACTTTGTGCCTCTTAAATATTTTCATCTCACTCTTTAAAAGTAGCAGAGGCTGATCTTGTTGTCGCCCGTCTCTCCTCTCAGATCGACGAAGACTCGAGTCTGGTTCCAGAGGCCATCCAAGGCGGAACGTACGGGTTCAATTCGTCAGCCAACGTGCCAGCAGAGGGATTCCAGTTCTAGAAGGGGCGACGTGAGAGCCAGAGTTTTGTTTGTGATGCAGCACTCTGTTCAACATACAAAAAAAAAAAATTAATTAGGAGAGAAAGAGAGAGAGAAGCGCGCGAGAGTGTGAGAAATTAGATCCATTGTGCTTGGCTCATGGGATCCATGGCTGCATCTAATCCAAGAGAAATTGTGTGGATTTCGTTTGGCATCCTGGAGGATCCAGTCCAAATGAAGTTTGTGATGGCGAGTGGGTGCGAGTGAGAGTGAGTGGCTACTATATGTTGCAAAACACGACCATCAACACTGAATGCGTTCAGAGAACATTTTCGTGAAACTTCACAAAAACATCGGAACGTGTCTACCTAACGACGAAAAAACAAACGAACGATGTCGAACCGCGGGGGACAACCAAGACATCGCAAACTAGCAATTGGAGGTAAAGACAAAGAAAAAAAAACAGATGAAACGTCTGAATACGAATATACGACGACAAATGGGGGGGAAAAACGAACCATATCACATTGGAGAGGTTCCGAGGAGTGGGAGGAGTCTTCCTGGTTGGCCCCTCCCCCCCACAATGGGCCACGCTGTGAGAGATGTGTATGAGTGGGCCGTTTGGCGTATGAATGTCTGGACTCGGTGCCGAGGAGGCGGAGCTCATCTCCTTCCGGGCTGAGGAAACTTTAACTTTTTCAAGCGCACCGGCCGCTTCTCCGCACTGTCCGCCGGCGCCGGACTGCGCTACGTGTGCAAGTGAGCGGACGAATGGGTGTGTGTGGGGAAAATTGACAAAACAAAAAAAACAAAACGTGCGTGACTGACTGGATTGTGTGCGAGGCAGGGCTGAATGTGGACGCATGTGGAGAGAGTCACCATCGGAATACTGAAAGGAGCATTAAGCAAAGCAACAAACGTCAGAAGGAAAAAACAGCCTGGACGAAGAGGCTGATCTGATCTAATAATAAGAAAAATCGTCAAGAAGAATAAAAACAAACAAACAAAAAAAAAAAAACAACAAATTGAGACTACGTCAATTTTTTTGTTTTCGGGTTTAGAACCAACAACACTGGACTGAGCTCTTGGGCAGAGTATTAGAGGGCCATTGTGTGGAAAATAAGAAAACAAAATTATTCACTCTAGCTTCTGGGATTTGCTTTTAGTCTCCAGCGTTTTATTTTTTATTTCATTTTTAGCTTCAGGTTATATTCAGTGCTTGCATAGAACTGAGGGATTTAACCCCATCACTTCCTTCACACTGTAGTTTTACCTTAACGGAAGCAAGGTTGGTTTGACGCTGATCATCTTCACCAAATCGAATAATCTTCTGCTTTTTTGCATGATTTTCTTTGCTTACTTTCTTTTTTCTTTTTCTTCTTAAAGCTTCTACTCTGCAGCGCTGTTGCCGTAGCTTTGAGCTTTCATGAGCTTTGAGCTGTTAAATGGGGGTGAAATTGTTAAAAACGGAGGCCATTTAAGTCACGAAAACATCTTTGCATGTACCAAACTACAGCATAGTTTTAGGCGTTTTAAGTTTTGTTATGTGTATAAAATGTCTTTTTATTCTTTTTTTCTTTATTTTTTTTCTTTTTTAATTAGTAAACTGCTGTTGAAGTGTTACATGTCCCTCCCCCCCCGCCCCCCCCCAACTTCCTACCTACCTGATCAACAGTCGAATATTAAACCATTTCACGCACAACGTACAATGGGATGCGTAGGACAGACATGCCAGCACCCTCAACTATATGCATAACACAGATACAATCTTACATTTGAATATAAGTGTAGATAAGATAGTCATAATTAATGTCGAGCCACATTAGGGGAGTAAGAGTCTTCACAGTAGTTTCAATGATTTGAAATAAATGACCTGCCTCTTATTTTGGGGTGTTCCTATTATTGGGAGAGATGTTTTTTCATAGTGTGATGATCCAGCTCCCTGAAGTCTCTGGTGGCTCGCAGACTGTTGTGCGGTGCCTTCTTTCTAGAGCACAAAAAATGGAGAAAAAAGAAAAAAAAAAACAAAAAAAATAGATGCATGAACAAAAGTGCTGTTCTTGAGTACATCCTATTGTCCTGATTCCCTTAGAGCCCCTTTTTATTTTTCTTTTTGTGTTGAAGTTTCAGAACACTGTAGAGACGGATTACTCTTTGTGGTCATAACTTTCTGTTGGACATAGGGTATATTTACAGCATTCCTTGTTAGCAGAGATGTGGTTTCAAAGAAGGCGGGGGATAAAATAATAAAAACATTGGAGTTAGATGGTCTGCTTAACCTGTTGAACATAGACTACGGGCTAAGTTTCTTTGGTGAAATAAATATTGAAACCATACCAGCTTTTGTCTTTTTATTACCTTCCTTTTTGTGTATTGCTCTTGGTTTTCTTGGCCAGGTAGTTCATTTCAAGGCAAAGAAATTAATCTTATTTTAATTACATGCATTTACTCTTTATAGGCCTCCCTTCTGAAAATAGACTATTAAGAACCACTAAGATTTAAAACATGATGCTTTTGCTTCCTAATGGGAGTCCACTTAAAACCACTGGAGACCACTAGTTTCCTGTTGGACACCTTTAGATCCTGTTAGAAAACCATCAAATGTGAGTGGTGATGGTCACAAGTCACATTTTAAATCATTGGGATCCTTTACACCAATATTAAAACACACATTACAGAACCACTGGGAACCTGCAGAAACGTTTGTTGGTTCTATTATTACGTATACATGCACTCAGTAATCCGATCAAAATCAATTTCTGCAGTTATCCGATTGTTCGGATGGTCAATGAGCACATATACATGCGCTCAATAATCCGATCGTAATCGGATTTCTGCAGTTATCCTATTGTTCGGATGGTCCACGAGCGCGTATACATGGACTCAATAATCCAATCATAATCGAATTTCTGCAGTTATCCGATTATTCAAATGGTCATGTAAACACCATACTCTGATCTAGAAATCTGATTAAGAAATCTGATAAAGAGGCTGGATTTCAGCTCAGTAATCAGATTTCTCAGTGCATGTGAACTCTTGCTCTGATTTCTATCGGATTTCTCAGCATGCGCAAGATCAGATGGTGGATGTTGCGAGAAGCAGCAAAACACTTTTGGAGCGAAAGAAACCAAACACAAAATAAAGGATTTAAATATTCTTCATCTTCTAGATGATGTATGTTCATATTTTCAGGTAAAGCGACTCGATGTTTACAAAAAAGTTTTACGTTATGTTTACGTCACGTCTTCTGTGAGTCTGTTGGCTGGTTGTAAAGCAGAAATCTGATTTTCTGCAGTTATCAGATTAGTGCAAATAAACACTCGCTTAGTTTAGATTCAAGGCTTGATGAGCTGCTCACTTCATGCCCGTAAGTTCAGCCTCTCTGGCGTTTCTTCTGAAATGAAGGTGTTAATAGTGAGTTTGTGCTGCAGTAACAGCCTCTGTTCTGGGGAGGCTTTACACTAGATGTATATTACTGAGGTCAGGATTATTAGTTCTGGATCATGAAAACGGCTCCAGCTCCTCTCAGAGCTACGGGATTGAGCTCCATCACTCTGTCTATGTCTGTTAATGTTTTATTGATTTATATATTCATACTGTTGCCTGATGAATGGACCAATAGAAACGACACAAACTTAATTACCCAAATAGTGTTAACATTTGAGGTTTGTGATGATACAGAAACCTAGACTGGCACCCAAGATCCAGCCTAAATGCGCAATGTGGAGCGCAGCTTGATCGTGAATCCGGCATTTGCACCTGTTGCTTCAGAAAACGTGACCATCCAAAGGCACCGCTAGGATTCAAACCCAGGATCTTCTTAAACTTTCTTAATTTTTAATAAGGCGTGGCCACAAATTAATATATTGAGGTCACAAATTAATACATTGAAGCCACAATATACAACGTTGAGGCCACAGATTTATATATTAATTCATAGCCTCAATATCTTAATTTGTGGCCTAAGTATATTCAAATATTGGCCTAAATTATAACTATGTTGGGGCCACAAATTACTATGCTGATGCCACAATTAACTACGTTGAGGCCACAAATTATTATATTGGGACCACAATTTACTATATCGTGGTTACAATTTACTATGTTGGGGCCATAAATTACTATATTGAGGCCACAAATGACTATAGTATAGTATAGTCATTTGTGGCCACGCCTTATTAAAAAATAATCACTATATTACCTTAGAGGCTCCATACATCAGGCTTCACAGTAGCAAAAGACTAAAGTGGGCATAGAAACTTTTCAAATTAAAAGTCTGAACTGAACTTTGCTGGTGTTTTTCGCAAGAGGACTGACAACTTCAACCAGTCTATAGAAACTCTGTCTTGTTTTCATGCTTCATCTTCATTTACTTCACATTTGTTAACATCTTTAAAAAAATTATTGGGTGTGCTTTATTTGCTCACATTTATTTCAATATTACAAAGTTGTTGTTTTTTTTAACTTTTTAAAATATTTAAATATGAATTTAATTCCAGTTTGAAAATGGCCATTTTTGGTTTCTCATTAGACCGGTTATTTATTTACCATACATTTTGAGAAGAAGAGGATATGCGGTGATAGAAATATAATATATATTATATATATATATATATATATATATATATATATATATACATATATATATATACATATACACACACACACACGTATGTATGTGTGTATATATATATATATATATACACACACACATCTGTGCAGTCTCAGCTGAGCTGATAGGTTTGGTTCAAAAGCTGCAATAGCAGAACGTGATTGGTAGAAAGTAGTAGAGGGGACGCGCATGCGCAGACGATGGGCTGTTGGAGTCTGTTTGCCGAATCGATTCTTTAGAATCGTTCGTTTCAGTGAATCAGACATCAGGGTTAAGGGTTCGCCGATTCATAATAAAGTCTGAGTCTCAAAATGAAACGTTCAGCGAGTCTGAAGTTTGTTTACTGCTCCTCGCTAATAGAGCCGGTACTGTAAATACACAAACACATAACGTTAACGGAAAAAGGAAGCCAATCACATTATAACGAGAACACGTGTGTAAAGTATGATTATTTTATAAAGTAAATCAAAAGAAATGTTCGATATTTTGCTCTAATCTAAACATTGGCGTAAACGCTAAAATACAAGATCGATTCAATCGGACTTATGAATCGGTTCGATTGGTTTACTGAAAAGAACCGGTTCAAATGAGCTGATTAGTTCAGGACTCGGACGTCACTACAGCAGACGGTTATTGTTGCTGTGGGAGACGCCAGGTGAGTCTCTCGGCTACACGATTCTAATAAATTTAGTCTTTATATCACTAGATTTTACACGATACCAAGAGAAAGTCTGTTATTGTTTAGTATTGATTTATTTGTTAATTTGTTTTTGAACGATGCGATGAGACAAAAGCTAAAGTTAGCTTTCTTTTTTTAATTTTCCCGTTCCACCTTAAATGCTGCAGTCGTTGCTTTCTGGCCCGAGGCGCAAGAATGTAGCTGCAGCATTTAAGGTGGAACGGGAAAATTCGAAAAAGAAGCTGACGAATAGGAAACCAACTTCAGCCTCGTTAGTCAGAAACAGTATCTACAGTGTCGAGCGATTTAGTTACGGACTTATTCAGAAATATAGACATTTAAACGTCGTGTTTTCATGTACTTTAGATTTCTGAATCCTGTAAATTACACCGAATCGCACTGAAAGAACAGTAAAAGAAGAAGCAGCAGACTGACGTATGTTTGTTTGGGGTGCGTTCACTATATTAGGGTGTACGAAGTGTTTCTTAGCCCCTAAACTGCGCCTCACTAAAGCAATTTTATCTGATCAACGATCAAAACATGTCGAATGATGTCAAACACACGAGCTTCGGTGCTCTTAGGCAGATCGATTTCATCGACAAATCATTGTACAAACCATTGTACGTTGTTATTGCGTGTAAAACACTTTGAAACGCTGCTGTAATGTTGAATACAGCGGTTGTTTTTGTCTTCTGTCCTTATTTGTGACAGTCATTGTATTATAAAGGCAAAGAAGCGCTGTGAAATAGGGGAATTCCACCGATTTTTCAAAAATTTCTATATAGTTAAATAGTTGAAATGTGAACAGTCATTCAGAGTGGTTTGGTGTGAAATGCTCTGCTCTAGAGAAACTTACCGAGTCAGAATTGTTCACAGTGGTGGTGATAGGAACCAGACGTCCACCTCTAAAAGCTCCCTCACATAAAGTTATTACATGAAATAGTTATGAATTCACTGCCTGATGATTGAGATATAGTTCATCATAAAACAATTTTAACCCAGTCATGGTGGAGGGGTACATGCAAAATAGCCCCCAAATAAATCAATCTTTTATTTTCAGATTTAATTTTTAACCATCATCAACATTCCACATAAAGACACATGCACAAATAAATGTAAATAAAATGGCTATATTTGTGTTGTAGTCATGGCGACCCCTGGTTCCTATTACCACCACTGTAAAGAAATATAAACCATTTCACACCAAACCACTCTGAATGACTACATCTTGAAGACTGAATTCAGAAATTTTTAAAAATGGTGGAATTCCCCTTTTAACAGAACCCATTATGGCTATTATTTAGTAAATGTAGAATCATAACTGTATGACGGTATTCATGGCATTTATTGTATTGGCAAAGTAGCAGTCAGACGTTTCCCTACAACGTTAGTGTTCATGCTGTTCAAACCTGTATGAGTAAGAATGAGCTGCTGTTTTGTCGTCCAAAAGTAGGTTAGTTTTCTAAGCTGCAGCAGCCAGTGAGGCCTATTCGTCTGGATCTCCACATTTACTGCATTTGCAGAGTGTGGATCAGACAGTGTGACCCAGTATATCCTACCAGGATTACAAACTCACTGCCCTCAAATTTAACCCCCTTTTCACTAAGAACAAGTTTATCGTCTAGTGGTTGGACACAGGGTAGTGAAATGTGAGCTTTGCAAAGCCAGAACTACATCTCTGAGGAGTAGGTAATGGATATTATGTTATTCTATTACTGCATTCTAGACTGAAAGAGCAAGTCTTTGCTTAAAGGGCAATTCCATCATTTTTTTCAAAATTCTGCATAATCGTTAAAATGTAAACAAAGTAATTCATAGGGGTTTGATGTGAAATGCTCTGTTTTAGGACCTCAGAATTGTTAAAAGTGGTGGTGAAAGGAACCAGACATCCACCTCCAAAAGCTCCAACACAGAACATTATACAAATACACTTAGGTTTTGGCCTGAAACTTATTCTTTAAATACTTTCATGATAGAAAAGTACATGCCAGGCATTCTTAGGCAAAATAGCATCCAAAGAAACCTATTTTTTTTCAGATGTCAGA